ATACATACATACATACATACATATACATATATACATACATACATACATTACATACATACATATGTACATACATACACACACAACACACACTGAACACCACATACACATAAGACAGACAGACAGAAACAGCAAACTTGTATATTATAAATAGTAAGGACTCTTCGCGTCAAAAAAGTGTAAAAGGCTTGCAAAACCCTTTGAATAAAATTTTTCCTCGATGAGGCTTATCTTATCAGTGTAGAACATATATTCATTTCGGGGTCATTTTCCTCGTGTTTCTGCAGGTTTGCGCTATCATTCTCAGGCATTTGTACTGGATAAAAATAGAAGAGCTCACATCTACTTCATTAGTGGGATGGGCGCTAAAATGGGAGGAGCTTTGATTGAAAATCGCTACTTCTGCTCGAAATAATTCTGGAGACTGGGAAAATGTGTGTAGAGGGTAAAAATAGAAATTAGGCCAAATCTCAATAAGTGAGACCGGACCTAAAATGGTAGAAACCAGATCGAAAATCTCTAGTACTGCACGAAGTCGTTTGGAGACTGGGAAGCTGCATGAAGAGGCTACTCTTGTTCATAATCATTCTGGAGACTGGTAGAATGTGTGTAGAGGGTAAAAATAGAAGAAAGGTCAAACCTTCATCATAAGTGAGACGGGCACTAATGTGGGAATAGCTCAGATCGAGAATATCTTGTACTGCTCGAATTGCATAGCTCCCTGTATACAAAGTGATAACTTTATGTGTCTGTTTGTATGCCCGTTTGTGCGTCCTTCCAAAAGTCACGTAGGCGCGGAAAGTGTGAATGTAGCCTGAGTGGGGTGAGGAGACAGTATGAAATGGGAATTCAACCAATACTGTTTATATTGGTCCACTAACGAGTCTTAGGTAAACGGTAGTGGGCATGGCATGGGACACGCGTTGAGGTGCTAGTTCATTTGGTTTCGTATAAAAGAGATCGTCACGGAGACAAGAGGACTGCCTTGAGGCTTGTCGTCTACCTGCTAACGAATCGAGATTCGAGAGACTGTCATGCGAGAAATGTCGTAACGACGAGCGATCAAGGAAAATGGCTCACCAAGTGCGCGCAGAGATGGAACGGCTGCTGGATTATTGCGAGGTTTCATCACTTTTCCAAATTGATGAATTTAGAGCACCAGAGCAGATATGTGAGCTAAGGTATATCATAAATATAAAGGAAAGTGCAGATTTGTAAAAACGCTCCAAACAAGGATATTGCGAATTTCCGTTTGTTACATTATTTATGGCTCACTATGTACATGCTGCTTCTCCACTACCGGAGACAAAACAGTCAATCGTCTCAAGATTGAACGACTACTCGTCAGGAGTGACACGGAAGCCTGGTTAAGCCACTATCGGTACGGTGAAAACAGTCAAAACATTTCTTCCAGACTGAAAGAATCGTCGGAAGCAAAGTGATGCTCACACATACTATTGCGTTTTCCCACTGCTATATGCTGTCCGCAACTTGGGAGAATGCTGTATTTTGCCCTACAAGAAAAAGCTTTGAAGTGTCCCTTCTTGCCTTTAGCCACTTCAACGCTTCGAATCTATCAGGTTGGAACATAAGTACTGCAGCACTGAACATCTTCTCCAGGGAAAAGCCAAAGCCTTTCCTAAGTGTTTTCGCGCCTGATTGCTGTAGAGTGTTCCTGAAGGATTTCGAAAATGGACATAAAAGGGCTTGAAGAGATTCCTCATGAAATACGCCTGTCCGACCATGAGCTACGTCTGTCTGACAAGACGGGCAGGATGCACGTGGCTGAGTCTCTTCTGCTTCGTGCCCATCGAAAGGACTTATTGTGAGACATAGTGACCGGAGATGAGAGTTGGGCGCTTTACGTGAATCATTCACGTGAGCGCCACTGGGCTGTGCGAGAAGAAAAGCCACCTAACGAGGGAAGGATCCCAAGTCGAAGTGGCCATTTGAAATCAGACACTGTTGGACGTAATTTTCCATGCTGATTTCAAATCTGCATTCAAAATTTGCCAGGCGATTCTCTGAACGAAGTTGGAGGTGGTTTCCGGGAGCGCTCATTAGGGGAAAGCACAAAAGACATGGAGGCCGGTATTACTGCATTGGCGGCTTGGAGTGGAGGTAAGCGTGACGCTTCATCGGCACGGGACTAAGGGTCGGGTCTGGTGAACGACGGCGTTTTTGCACTTGCAGGAGTTTTCCCTCCAGGTTGTAAAAATCTTTTTATGTTTGTTTTACCGCCTTCAGCGACTTTTTAGTTCCTACTAAACCGGGTGACATCTACTCCAACCACCAACATTACAAAAATTCTTATTGTTATACATTTCGAATTCACTGTAGCTTTACTTTAATTAACTTATACCCATCAGATGCAGATGTGAGGATTTAGCAGGAAGTGTTTGATACAAAGAAGTCTTTCACAAGGAGCACAACGAATTAGAAAAATTCCTCCGCAGGTTGTTTCTTCACAACTACTTACTACACCAGATGGAAAGCAGAACTGAGTATGTGTCTCGAAATCACCTGGATGTGTGCTCAAGGAGCCGGCAGCGTGCCATGAGTAGGAGCCAAACCTCTTTACCTAGGAGCACAGAATTGGAATTGGAAGTACACAAGTGACAGTAATCGAAGAATTGAATCGCGAGTATGCACGCTAAACTTAAGATCATGAGCTAATACATATGAGGTGATACGTTTCTACATATTTTTGAATGGCATAAGGAAATAAACGACCCGCTCCAGCGGCTGTATCAACCTCGTAGTACCAGCTATGATGTTCTTCATCTTGAACTGGTTTTGTGGAGGTAGTGCCGACTGAATTGCTTCATGATCTTTAAAGGAATTACAAGAGTTCACCAGCAGCAACATTGATGTTGGTGAGTCCGGAGCAGCCACGAATGGTCGAACCCACTCCAACATCAATTGCTTGCTCATCATGTGCGTTCTACTCACCCGAACCTCTAAATTCCGAGCATGGAAGACTCCCCTTCTTGGAAACTCGCCACGGGTTTCTGTTTCCAGGGCAGAAGATGGTGATAAGCCTTGAGACCAACCCGCATATTCCTTCGAACTCTTGGATCCACCGATGTCCTGCTTTGAAATTCGTGACTAACGATCTTTCCTTGTTGATTAAAGCCATTTGGCGTATATCGCAGTCATGCAGTTTCACTATTCGGTCTAGCTTCGACTAAGCTTCGTCTTTCAAGTCGTCCGCCAGCGTTCGTAAAGCAGCCAAACGACACTCGCGAGTCTCACCTATTCGATAAGGTCAGAATTTCCCACTAAAAGAAAAGACATTCCATTGCTGCAGCTAACCCTCTCTTTCCATTTGCCTCAACCTCATAAGATGATACTCGCTACTCTACATCGCTATCGAAGAGGAAATTATGCACGACAGCGAACGGCATCCCTTTGCGTTTGACCGATAGAATCTGATACCGCTTTCCGCCTGGTTTTGTTTGGATATCTCGCTCTAATAAATGTTTTGGGGAGAACCTGTACCTGCTGTTTGGACACTTCCACATTACCAAATATCAACAACCCTCTAGATGTGCTTGCTAATTCCTCTTCATCATCCGGTTCCCACAGTGGATCAGCCCCCTCGTCCTCAATTGCGCAGTCTTCTTCGCACTCAATATCGAGGTCTTCGATAGTGGTATTCCACAAGATAGAGGAAAAACTATCTAACGATTTCTGCTCCTTCTTTGTAGAGACGCGTTCGGCATCACAAGATCCGAATTCTTCAAAAGGTGCGGTGCTACCAACTCGGGGCAGAACGTACTCCTTGTAATTTAGTGTTACATCCATCCACATATAACATGATTTGCCGCGTTTGCCACGTGGCAACCATTACTTTTTTGAAAACTGACCACAACCCCCACCTTTTTCAAAAACTAATCGATATCATTGCGCAGTGGAAGACGGTTTAAGTAGAAACTGACTCGCCTCCAGCAACTAAAAAGTGGCAGAAGGCGGTAAAACTAACATAAAAAGATTTTTACTACCTGGAGGAAAAAGCCCTGCAAGATGCAAAAACGCCTTCGCCCACCAAACCCGATCCTTGGTCCCGTGCCTATGAAACGTCACTCTTACCTTCACCCCAAGCCGCCACTGCTAGACTACCGGCGACCATGATTGTTCCGCTTTCCTGTTGAGCGCTCTCCGGTGCCTACCTCCGCAGCTTCGTTCAGAGAATCGTTTGGCAGATTTCGAATGCAGGTTTGAAATCAGCAAAAAAAATCAAAAAATACGTTTAGCAGTGTAGGTCTCATTTCAAGTGGCCGCTTCGACTTGGGATCCTTCCCTTGTAAGGAGCCTAAAGCAGACATCCATGAGAAAAAGGTTTTATTGTGTTGCTGGTGGGACTGCGGGAATGATCTACTGGGAGATGCTAGACAGTGGCACTACAGTGATGGCCACAGTCTACGCTGACCGCTGCACAAAGTGGCCGACGTAATGCGAGAGCTACGTCCGAAAAGATTCAATGCCTTCCTACTCCACGATAATGCACGCCCGCATGTGGCCAACGAAACGCGTCAAAAAATTATGCGGCCCGGGAAGTACTGCCGCATCCGGCTTACTCACCGGACCTAGCACCTTCTAATTGTCACCTATTAAGAGCACTGAAGCACCATCTGAGCGACAAAAAATTCGACGATCGTCGTGAACTCAAAAATGAAGTTGAACACTTTTTTTTGCTGCAGAAACCGGAATTCTGGAGGAGAGGGATCGAGAAGCTACTCGAAAGAAGGGCACGTGTCCTAGATAATAATGGTGACTATATTGTTTATTGAGGGTTCTATTTAATGAAGAAATATGAAATTCAAAAACTTGACTGAAGTGTTGCAAGACTTATTTTCCAACCTAATAGTATTCCGAGTAGGCACAATACACATGATGAACAGAGAGCTCATATTCGATTGAATTAAAGCTTGCCTTTTCGAAAGAGATAATGACTCGTGGTCGTTATTCCGCGATACCTACACCATCAAACAAGCAGTGCCCGAAGGTGATTAACGCGACATATCATTGAGTAGTGCGTGTGAAGGGGTGAGCCTATTTAGTTCCACGTCTAATTACTTCGCACCTTCCTCGCCCATCCACTCCTTCGCCTGTGGGGTGGCCTCGCTTAATTGGTTGGCTGCTGACCTCTCTGCCACACAGCCATACTCAGGAGTAACGATATCGGTTATATGATTAAGAAACTTCTAAAGCATGAAAAATAAGGCAAAACAAAAAATAAATATGCATAACTTTAATAATGCAACAGAGAAAGCTGTGGAGGCTAAAGTAATGCTTGGAAAAATCATAGGATGGGGAAAAGGATTTATCACATCGTGTAAGCAGTCATTCTCACAAGGCGCCTGCGGGCAAACTACTTGACAGAGTGACCTTTCAAGCTTTTTTAACACCCTCTATCGCTTTCTTTGGACACCGTCAGTAGATCACTTGAAGGTATTCAAATATGTGGATGAAAGCATCATAAATCACCTCTGTGGTGTGCTTGTCATCGCATGAGCACGATGTCTCACTTGTACTACTCTGCGTTCGACTAAAGAGCTTTCTCCGGCTTCAACTCAGGATTAGCTGCTACTGTTGCTTCTTATTACAACGGATCCCTGTACTTAGCTAGCCTACCACAATACACTGTACCACCTCTATTTCATGTATCTGCACCCCTTCCACCCCTTGCAACTTCCCTTTCCGTTCCCTCGAGGGCTGTAGCTCCGAATTCCTTTTATATTTATCCTCAGCACCCGAAAGCACTGTGAGCTCTGCCAACCAGAGCCCTTCGTTTTTAAAAACTCTAGGGGCAGCTACAGCTACCTCAAATCCAGAGCACACCTAAATGGCGAAAGGCAGGTAAGCAAGGGAAGAAAGCATCACGTTCTAATCTATCGGGACCAAGTGGATGGAGAATGGACCAAGTGAGCAGGAAACAGAGCAACTCTGCAGGAAAATGTCTAGATACGTCACCGATAATCTTCATAGTTTCCTTATAATATGAAGATTTTGTATTTTTACATTGTATTGTCCCAACTGCATATTATTTTAAAATGTGTAATAATAACAAATAATGATATAATAATATCACTAATGATAATAACAAAGTTTCCAATCCATATGATCAATATCAGATCACTCAGACTGTCAGAGAGGTCACAGCCAGCTAATTAAGCGAGGTCACCCCACAGGCGAGTGAGTGGATGCGCGAGAAAGGTGCGAAGTTATTAGAAGTGTGGAGCCGTGGAACCAAATACCGACTCCTCATGTGAAGCAGTGCTGCTTAGTTCCTTACGAGCACATCGTTACAGGATGCAAAGTCGATGTCCTTAATATTCCTGCCGGTGCTACGTTCAATGGAACGAAAGAACAGTGTGTAAAAACCTCGACGATGCTGAAATCAAACCCAAATCCTTCGCCTGTGGAACGAGAACACTACTACTATGCCATGATGACGCTTGTTTTCGAGGCGACGAGGTCGTATTTCCAGCCTAACAATACCGTCGAGCGGATTTTGAGCCGCTATAACTTTTTTTGGACGGCCATTTTGCAATCTTGATTTCCAAAATCGTAAAAAACATTCAAATGATTGATTCATCTGGGTCTCCCTCCCTTTCCTAGTAAGTGGAAGTAGTAAGCTTTGGGTGCATGAGTTTCACTTTTCGCTCTAAATCGTTACAAGCATTCTTTTCATGTTACTGCGATGGAAGCAGTCAATGAATTTGGGTTGGACTTTTACCAAATCGGGGTTTCTGGAAGGCTTCATAGGAGAGCGCACTCTCGTTCCATTTGGATTCAGTGCAAAGCCGTGCTTTGTTTCTGAGTTGGTTTCGGCTAGAACTATTTGTGCATTTTCGAAATGACACCTTCCACTTCACAAATGTTAGGTTTCAATGGCAGGGCTATGGCCAAACAGTGATTCTTCATTGAGTCGCGAACCATGCCGGGTAGCGGTCGTAACCTAATAGCAAGAAACAAACCAATCTTCATCTCCTTAAGAGTACTCTTAGTCGGTCCTTATAAATGCACTTAAACTACTGTCGAATGGGCCATATCAAAGGGTCAACAAAGGCGTTGGATTAAATTGGTGCGTGGATCTAGTTTTCTAGGGCCTCTTCCTTCCTGTTCCCATCCTGCCACCCACCATAGTGTTTCCATCTTGTCACCTAGACTCCTACCAATTTTGAACGCCCTAGGACCAGATTGACGATTTTCATGTAAACCCTGGGACACACACATACACATACATATACATACACATGTACACATATACACATACACCTGTGCACATACACACATACACACACGCACATATGCACACATTTACGCACATATACACACATATACACACATATACACACATGTACGCACACACACATGTACACACATGTACACACACATATACACCCATGTTCACACCTACACATACATATACACACACATGTACGCACACACATGTACACATACATGTACACACACATGTACACACACATATATACACACATGTACACACATACATACATACATACACATGTACACGCACACGTATACACCCATATGCACACATACACAAACACATATACACACATACTCGCATACACACATACACATACATACACATAAACACATACACTTGTACACACACATACACACATACACACAAACACATTCATATATACACATATACATACACATACATGCACATACATAGACATACGCACATACATACATATATACACATATACACACATACACACATACACACATATACACACACATACACACCTATACACACGTATACACGCACACACAACACATTGTTTTTGTGTGTGTCTGACCGGAATTTCATAACTCTTTTCCCGTGGACTTGAAGCGTTCAAACTTTGCAGAAGTACAGGCGGCAGGATGGGAACACTTATGGTGGGTGGCTAGATCGGACCCCGCCCCCAAGGGGCGGGGATTGCGCGAATTCAATCTTTGAGTGGAAAGTCGTAATTGCTGTTTCCGTGTACTTAGAACGTTCAAATTTGTTAGGAGTACAGTCGGCAGGATAGGAGCACTCATAGTGAGTGGCAGGACCGGGTTCCGCTCACAGTGGGCGGAGTTTGAGCAAAACCTCAGAGCTCCTGCCACCTCGCACCTAGAGCGTTCATATCTGGTAGGAATACTGGGGGCAGGGTCGCAACATTTTATGGCAGGTGGAAAGACCGGACTCCACTCGCACAGGGCGGGGTTTGCGCGATATAAATGTTTGAGCGGAAATTTATAGGTCCTGTTCCCGTGGACTTGGAAAGTTTAAATTTGTTTGAAGTAGAGGAGGCGGGATGGAACACTTACGATAGTACCTCTTACCAATTAAATCCTAACGCCTTTGTTATTTACGATCTAGCTTTGACTCCTTGACAAAAAGGGTAGCTGCAGTGATAGGGATCGACTAAGAATACTGAATTATAAGGAGATGAAAATTGGTCCATTTCTTGCTATTAGAATGCGAACTCTACCAAGCGATGTTTGTGACTCGATGAGAGATTACGTTTTCTCTCTGCTTCAATCATTCTCGGCAAAACTCATCCGACCGCTGATAACCTTGAAATCTCATCTAATAATACATCCGTAGAGAACGGTAGCTTCATTGATAAAGACGTTCTATGATGGTCTCACTATGACTCGGCAACGTTTGTGAGCACCATTTAAGGCTTTGTTTGCCTACCAGTTGAACCATCAATGGGTCATTATTTCTAAGATGATCAACAACACATCGAGTTTTAATTATAGGCATAGGCATCAGAGCACTTTGAATTGTATTTGCATGCCCTGTTAGTCCTCTGTCTGATTTCGCGTTCGAAATAGTACCGTTTGTTACGGAGAAAGAGTGAGCTAATTATCCGTTTCTCAAAACTTCATCATAGGAAGAGGGGAAGCCCGGCGTTAGCCGGGCGACCACACTGATATACATTGATTTTTTATATGTGATCATAATTGAAAATGACAATGAAAGTTCCAAGCGAAATTCTATCGAATAGTAAAAAAACGGTGGTGAAAGCTCTCGGGCCATACACGCCGACATCTGATGGTAAAGACAAATGCAGGGCAACAGGTCGCCTCTCTTTTGGTAGGCAGGTATTCCCCCGAGTGAGTCCTTGTCCTCAGTCCAGAACACAGTGATTTTGACGTAATGTACCGTGGCTTGCTGTGTGCAACCTAGCGGTGAAGAACGATTTCAATCGCGACCTCAGGCGTACGGATAAGGGGGACTCAAGTAAGGGGGCCGCCATCCCTTCACTTCCTCGGCAACTACCTCACCACAGCTTCGAACGGAACTTTGCATTGGAGCATAGCCAGCGAGGAGAGGGGCACGAACGCTTGCATCGGAAGCGTGCATCGATGATCTGATGATGCAAGCCAGGAAGAATAATTACGGACGAGAAGGCACCGCCAGTTGTACGCCACTCTTCGAACTTTAGAAGAACTGTTCCATGGAACATGCGATAGCAGAGGCGTCGGCGTCGGTCGTCAATGCGCGCTTGGCCATGAACATCGATTCGTAGTGGAGCTTGTCAACCCAAATCGGACGTTTGCAGTTGAGAAGATGTGGCTCAACTCCAGCACAGTCTTCGTTGCTCACGCACCAACATCGTTGTACGACGAAGAAGAGCTGGAGGTGTTCTGCATGTCTCGAGAAGCTCTACGGAGAGGACCATATTTCTTCAAGGCCATCGTCGGTGGTTTCAACTATACAAGATTGGCACTAGAAGAACGGCTGAAGAGCCTCCCATCGGAACTCACGGAATGGAGTGGAATGAGCAGGGTGAAAGGTTGACCGAGTTTACAATGTCGGCCCACACTATCCATGACAATTCGCAGTTCCAGAAGCCCTCTCATTCCCGATGGACATGGGAGTCACCTGGTGGGCAGTTCCATAATGAAAGATCATGTCATCGTCAATCGAAAGTTTTGCGTAATAGACGTCGCTGTCGTTCTGAAGTTCTACACGGGATCAAACCATCCTCTCCTCCGCATTCCGTTTTTTTTTAGATTTCGTTTTTCAGTGTGTGGAGAGACACCTGCGAATTCAGGAAACGAAGCCCCAGGACTGTTGTCAACTGGGATCACTTCGCTTCATTAGAGAGTTTGTGGAAAGGTTCTGTCAGCGACAACATCAATGAAGAATACGACCGGCGCGCCGGAAATCTTCACGATAGCGCCAGGAGAGCTGAGATCCTCAAAGATGAAAAGAAACGTTTTCTTTAAAAACTCTTGAGCTGGTATGCCAGCGTGGAATCGTGCGAGCTGAGCAGTAATCTGCTAATATCCGAACTTGCGGTGTTTGCAGAGAAGTGAGAAAGAAAGATCTGAAAGTGAAAAGAGCAGCAGTCCTGACAGAAGCTGACGAGGCTGGGAAGAGCATTCGCAAAGCTGGTTCATTCCGGAGCTTCTTCAATTATAAGACCAAGATGACTTCCCTCGTCGTCCTGGCGGTACTGTTACTGCATCCCAAACGGCATTGGAGAGGGTCATCTACAACTTCCACTCTGATCTTTTCAACAGCCAAGTCTACCTGCCTACCTAACATCTTAGGCAAGACGGATAGGTCGTTCCTTCAGTTTTCCCTCCAGAAATTCGACAATCCTTCACGTCGACGAGGAATGGTACGGCGCCCGGTCCCGACAGGATCGAAGCAGAACATCTAAAGAGCCTTCCGCCAACCATTGTCAAAATCCTGGGCCGACTTTACACGCGGTACTTATCGGGATTCAAAGTGCCCAGTTTCGTGGAAAACTAGCAAGACTGTGTTGCTGTAAAAGAAGGGAGATCCAGACGACAATCGCATTTATCGTCCAATTTGCCTGCTGCCTGTAATCCATAAACTTTCCACACGAGTCATCCTTAACAGGATTGGCAGAATATTAAATGGACAGCCATGCGAGCAAGCAAGGTTCGGAGAGGGTTCACTACAATCGATCACATCCACATTTTTACAAGACTAATTGAAGTATCGCAGGAGTACAGAATGCCGTTATGTCTTACGTTCATCAATTTGAAGAGGGCCTTCGATACCGCTGAGACAAAAGCGGTAATCGAAGCCCTTGGCAACCAGGGTGTTCCTACTCAATATGTATGGATGCTTCGTGAGCTCGATATTTTCGCGACCAGGATTGCACCATTATCAACGTGAAGAAAGGCGATACCATTTCGCCCAAACTTTTAGTGTCGCTCTCGAGAATATCATGCGTCATTTGGAATGGGAAGACTTGGGAGTGAAGATCGACGGCCGCTTCTTAAATCATCTCCGCTTAGCAAATCGCATCGCACTTATAACACCGAACATGGAGCATGCGGAACGATACTGGCCGTGTTTGACGGTGCTTGTAGAAAGATCGGATTACGACTGATCCTAACGAAGACGATGTTCATGCGAATCGGACTGATATCTGCTCCTTCCACGCTGAAGGATACAAATATCTCTGAATCTCTAACTATGTGTATCTAGGTCGGGAAGTCAACATGATGGACGACCTAGCTTCGGAGCTTAGCAGACTGAAACTGAAGCTATGAATGGAGGGATGTTTTGCCCCTGTCCCTCGAGCGAGTACGGTTTACTGGGCTGCTCTTGCTCGCGACAGGGACGATTGGAGACGTTACTGCTGCCCGCTCGAGGAAGTCGACGATCAACGGGACGACAAGTGATACAGGTGATACTTCAGAATTATCGTGCACTGTGCTTTTAAAGTGGTGGAAGCTCATTTAGTGCGAGATATTTCTTCTTAGATCCTTCCAGGCTCGAAATTCTTTATTACGCCAACGTTGGCAGCCTTGCCTTCGTCAGAGCCTGAAATGGTCCGAAGCATATGTGACTCGCTCGCTCAAACGCCTCAACAGCAACTCCGAGATTCTTCACCTAGACTAACAAACTTTCAAGGGTACTGGTCGAAGAAGCATGGAACTGCTTACCTTGAACATCGCCGTTAAGATGGCACACCGACCCCCCTCGTTGTAACTTTTCTTAGAAATAACCAGGTACCTCCCACTGACCTCATCGTGGATCCAAGATCACAAAGATCGAGAAAGGGTGTGAGTTTGCGGGTTATAGCCCCACACTCCTTCCTGTTCGAATGTTCCTGTTCCCTCACGAATGCATTATCCTAAGAGCTCAGGAACTTGTGTACCACGCAGGTTCATCCTTTGACGTCAGGGCGTCCGTACTGGCACTCGAACCCAGACGTCAAGATCGCGGCGGGCAAGACACTGAAAGCGTTTTGGGTCACGGCTAGGGACCATCAATGATCAGGAAGGAGGAGGGTAACCCCCAAACTCGCAACTTTGCCCAACCTTTGTGATCTTTGATCTTTGATACAGCGAAACAGGATTAGTCAGATACAAACCCGGAAGGGGTAGGAAGTTCAGTGTTTTTGAAGGTAGGGCTATTGAAATAATGGGTTTGCGAGTCGATCGTGATCTAGTTGATCCATCAGAAAGAGCTGCACGATTCGAAGTCGTCGAGTAGGCGAATTGTCAACAAGAAGCTTTTTTGCCACTCCTATCGTGGCAGAAATGCCGCTTTATTTCCGATGACAATAGACAGCATAAAGTCTAGAAAAGGCGAAAAGTTGCTGGCCCGATTCATGGAAGACAAGCATCCCCCTGCGTTTTCTCCCATGATGAAATGTTCACGGTAGATTTGGTCGTCACCGATGAAAACGATGGCGTTCTCGCTGAAAAAATCGGAAGTATTATGTCTCGCAAATAAGTTGTTGAAAGGTTAAGAACAGTAAAGTGAATGTTGGGGTAGAGAGAGGGACAATAGTGAGACGCCGACTTCATTGCCCTCGTAAAAATCGATAAAAACGTGTAACTAGAGAAATAAGCGATGAACGTACTGGTGCCTTGATCCAGTTCCCCTTTCTGAGGCAGTCCGGGTGCTTTCACCCTTTGACGACAGGGCGGCTCAACGGTGAGCCACGGTTTTCTGGTCGCGTGAGATAACGCGGCTCAACAGTGGACCGCACCCTTCTAATCGGTTGTTTTTCTCGATTTTTAGCTTTACTTGGAGTTTTTTGTATTTAATGGGTTTGCAATCACCAAATACCACTATACAGGAAGTGGGCTAGTAAAAACATTGCTAATTTTTGAAAACTACTGATGAATTCAATTCTCTCCCTGGAAATCTTACTTTTTGTGCATTTTCTGAAAACAATCAATGTAAAAATGACCTTCACATCTACTGCCCCTAGAAGTGACTCGTCTTATAGGGGCGTGAACACTTCCAGAAGCTCGAGATAGTTGTTTGTGACGAATTTTTTGAGAACTTACCCTCCTTTCAACTGCCTCGACTTTTATTAGTATTCGCCTTTTCGAGTTTCGGACAAGTGGGTGCTATGTTCCAATAAGTCATTTAGTTATCGGTGTAGATATACATCCCTTGATTCAAGAGTCCGTCCATTAGTCATGACCGCAGCAAACATAGCTGCTGGGTCCTTGCTTGTGGGCCACCTATCGAAGTAAATCTCGAATCTAAATCTTAAGTAAATCTTAGTCCTCCATGTGTAACATCTTCAATGCATAGCCTGAAAAAATTTTTCTTCAGTTCTACATTCGTCGGATTCGACCAATATTCTTTCAAAACCACCCCCCAAATCGTCCACTCAGGCTGATCCATTTCGACTCCCAAAGCTATATACTGCATAAAAGCAGACCTAACTAAAGTTGAGAACTCATAATTACCTAATTTACATCTGCTTCAGACTAAATCATAAAAAAAAGCTCATGCTGATCATGCTCGAAAAAAGCAAAAAATGCCCACATTGGAAAAATGTCTCACCCGTGGGACAGCCCGGCTCAACGGTGAGCCGCGGAAGCGGAAAGCTTCGAAACGCATCGTCCCGCGCGCCAGACATGCAAAAAGTCGTCAAAGGGTTAAGCAGGGCAGCGCTCCAGTTTACGTAGCCAAGCTCGTCTTGGAGTGGTGCCGACGTGAGCTATTAACTTCAACAGCACCAAGGAAGGGAGACGGGCAAAAAGATCGGTTTTGTGTAATCGATTCGTTGCGCGCGACAGTCGCGAACTAGTTATTACAGTTCTAGCGTTCTTCATACAGCTCAGTCGATAAGCGATGCTTAGTTAGCTATTTTGTTCCTTTATTTCTTAGTTGCCGCTACATTCTGCTACATTCTTTCGCGCGCGGCGTCCCTCTCGCCGCGACGCGACAATTTCGATCCATCTGCACCACACCCCGAGAAATGACCTCCCTGCTAGACAGGTCTTAACGCCTTTGGCTTTGCAGTGTTGTTCCTTACTGGGAAGAGAAACTTTGCGAGTGTTTCATTCAAGTTGAGAGCTCTTGAAAGAACAGAAGAACGGCTGAGAGGGAATGCAGGAGGAACACTTGCATGAACCTGCTGGGAGTTCAAAAGCAGACCTTGGCCCGTATCTGTGCTCATGAAGCATAGTTTGACTATGCATGCAGCTCGTTGTTGCACACATTGCTAGAAAACCCGTTTGTAGATTCCCCTGTCTTTCTCATTTAATAAGCATAAGTTACATTCTGATGAATGAGCGCACATTGTTTCGGGACGCCCTGTGTGTGTATTTGTAGATATGTGTGGGTGTATGTATATGTTGTGTTTATGTACGTGCATATGTGTGTGCGTGCATGTGTTTGTATGTGTGTGCATGTGCATGTATGTGTGCGCATGTACCCTTACTATGTATATATAAAGCGTTGCGTCTGTCTGTCTGTCTGTCTGTCTGTCTGTCTGTCACGAAATTCGATACTACCTGAAGGAATACCTGGAAGGTCGGGTCAAGTTTGGAATGGGTTGG